AACCAATCAGTTACCTGTGTCACACTTCCACACCTGAGTGGTGTCTGCCAATACAACAATAGAAACCAATCAGTTACCTGTGTCACACTTCCACACCTGAGTGGTGTCTGCCAATACAATAATAGAAACCAATCAGTTACCTGTGTCACACTTCCACACCTGAGTGGTGTCTGCCAATACAACAATAGAAACCAATCAGTTACCTGTGTCACACTTCCACACTCGAGTGGTGTCTGCCAATACAACAATAGAAACCAATCAGTTACCTATGTCACACTTCCACACTCGACTGGTGTCTGCCAATACAACAATAAAAACCAATCAGTTACCTGTGTCACACTTCCACACCCTAGTGGTGTCTGCCAATACAACAATAGAAACCAATCAGTTACCTGTGTCACACTTTCACACCTGAGTGGTGTCTGCCAATACAACAATAGAAACCAATCAGTTACCTGTGTCACACTTCACACACAACAATCGAGTTACCTGGTGTCTGCCAATACAACAATAGAAACCAATCAGTTACCTGTGTCACACTTCCACACCTGAATACAACAATAGGTGTGGTGTCTGCTAATACAACAATAGAAACCAATCAGTTACCTGTGTCACACTTTCACACCTGAGTGGTGTCTGCCAATACAACAATAGAAACCAATCAGTTACCTGTGTCACACTTCCACACCCGAGTGGTGTCTGCCAATACAACAATAGAAACCAATCAGTTACCTGTGTCACACTTCCACACCCTAGTGGTGTCTGCCAATACAACAATAGAAACCAATCAGTTACCTGTGTCACACTTCCACACCCTAGTGGTGTCTGCCAATACAACAATAGAAACCAATCAGTTACCTGTGTCACACTTCCACACCTGAGTGGTGTCTGCCAATACAACAATAGAAACCAATCAGTTACCTGTGTCACACTTCCACACCCTAGTGGTGTCTGCCAATACAACAATAGAAACCAATCAGTTACCTGTGTCACACTTCCACACCCAATCGAGTGGTGTCTGCCAATACAACAATAAAACCAATCAGTTACCTGTGTCACACTTCCACACCCTAGTGGTGTCTGCCAATACAACAATAGAAACCAATCAGTTACCTGTGTCACACTTCCACACCAGTGGTGTCTGCCAATACAACAATAGAAACCAATCAGTTACCTGTGTCACACTTCCACACCCTAGTGGTGTCTGCCAATACAACAATAGAAACCAATCAGTTACCTGTGTCACACTTCCACACCCTAGTGGTGTCTGCCAATACAACAATAGAAACCAATCAGTTACCTGTGTCACACTTCCACACCCTAGTGGTGTCTGCCAATACAACAATAAAAACCAATCATTACCTGTGTCACACTTCCACACCCTAGTGGTGTCTGCCAATACAACAATAAAAACCAATCAGTTACCTGTGTCACACTTCCACACCCTAGTGGTGTCTGCCAATACAACAATAGAAACCAATCAGTTACCTGTGTCACACTTCCACACCCTAGTGGTGTCTGCCAATACAACAATAGAAACCAATCAGTTACCTGTGTCACACTTCCACACCTGAGTGGTGTCTGCCAATACAACAATAGAAACCAATCAGTTACCTGTGTCACACTTCCACACCTGAGTGGTGTCTGCCAATACAACAATAAAAACCAATCAGTTACCTGTGTCACACTTCCACACCCTAGTGGTGTCTGCCAATACAACAATAAAACCAATCAGTTACCTGTGTCACACTTCCACACCTGAGTGGTGTCTGCCAATACAACAATAAAACCAATCAGTTACCTGTGTCACACTTCCACACCCTAGTGGTGTCTGCCAATACAACAATAGAAACCAATCCAATCAGTTACCTGTGTCACACTTCCACACCCTAGTGGTGTCTGCCAATACAACAATAAAAACCAATCAGTTACCTGTGTCACACTTCCACACCCTAGTGGTGTCTGCCAATACAACAAAAAAAACCAATCAGTTACCTGTGTCACACTTCCACACCTGAGTGGTGTCTGCCAATACAACAATAAAAACCAATCAGTTACCTGTGTCACACTTCCACACCCTAGTGGTGTCTGCCAATACAACAATAAAAACCAATCAGTTACCTGTGTCACACTTCCACACCCTAGTGGTGTCTGCCAATACAACAATAAAAACCAATCAGTTACCTGTGTCACACTTCCACACCTGAGTGGTGTCTGCCAATACAACAATAAAAACCAATCAGTTACCTGTGTCACACTTCCACACCTGAGTGGTGTCTGCCAATACAACAATAAAAACCAATCAGTTACCTGTGTCACACTTCCACACCCTAGTGGTGTCTGCCAATACAACAAAAAAAACCAATCAGTTACCTGTGTCACACTTCCACACCTGAGTGGTGTCTGCCAATACAACAATAAAACCAATCAGTTACCTGTGTCACACTTCCACACCTGAGTGGTGTCTGCCAATACAACAATACCACAATAAAAACCAATCAGTTACCTGTGTCACACTTCCACACCCTAGTGGTGTCTGCCAATACAACAATAAAAACCAATCAGTTACCTGTGTCACACTTCCACACCCTAGTGGTGTCTGCCAATACAACAAAAAAACCAATCAGTTACCTGTGTCACACTTCCACACCTGAGTGGTGTCTGCCAATACAACAATAAAAACCAATCAGTTACCTGTGTCACACTTCCACACCCTAGTGGTGTCTGCCAATACAACAATAAAAACCAATCAGTTACCTGTGTCACACTTCCACACCCTAGTGGTGTCTGCCAATACAACAATAAAAACCAATCAGTTACCTGTGTCACACTTCCACACCCTTGTGGTGTCTACTAATACAAGAATGTGTGTCAGCAAAGCGGTCTGGGTAACATATAAGCTGTTGCACAAATACTGTTTTGAATACAAAACCCTCCATAATCCAAACCAAATATTTATATAGCTTAATCCTTCTCTCCGAGCTAGTTAACTAAACCTCCCAAACAATCAGTTTATCGTAATAATTCTTAACCTTGCGGTAAATAAAACCTTGCGGTAAAACCTTGCTCCGTAATATTTTCGAGACAATGAAAATTATGCGCTTATTGTCAACAAAGGTGAAAACCTCATACACACTTTTAGAAGAATATTTGTGACACGATGGATCGGTCGGCCCGGTAAAGTGTTTGAACAGACTACTTATCAAGGATGAAATACACAATGCCATTTCATGGAACTCACTGATTTCACACGGAACTGTTTTGCAGACTGTGTGGTGTATCCCCCTGTAGTATTGTTGGTGTCTGACGGTGCAGTGTCAACTCACTGATGTATAATTATGTCATCATATCTGTTCAATGGAGGATGAGGGCTTGATTGGGTTCACGTACAGAACTTCTTCAAATACAACAAATGAATTAGTTGTGTTGTCTTATTGAAAAAAAGTTTTATTTCCACATTTATTACCACTGCATGCTTATATGGAGGCATATAGGCAGGTAAACATAATTAGATGCTTGATTGGCATTTTAGAAGATGATATTTGATGAACATAGAGATTTTTTCTGGGTTACATCTTCTTTTCATTCTCGAGTACAACGTTTCAGGGCTTGTTAAACATAATTAGTAGTGAAGGTGTTAAATTATGTTCACCAGATATAGATTTATAGACATAAAAACGTTTCTCGGCAAAATTTGGAGACAACTGAGATTTTCTATATAAGCTTGCTCATATGTATCATCAATTTCTAACACGCAACAACGTTCCTTTGACAACGTCATAGTGTTATGACGTCACGCAAATTGGTTCAATAGGACTGAGTCGTCATAGTGTTACTAATGTTGCTATGTTCTCATTCATAATAGACGCATACAGTATACGCTACTTGAAAACAAGAATTAATTCACCTCTATATTCAATAACACTATGCTGAAAAGTATAATCCCTTTATTCACCGCTTTATATTGGCTATGAATGAATGTATATGCCAATACCGACACTCACGCAGTGAACGCTCTCCCATTCTACAAACGCCATTGTCGAGGGTTGCTGCCTGAAGACTATTAGTTATTCAACCGTAACAGCTGAGTCAAAGGTCACCAGGAACTATAACTCACCGGTATTAGAGACCAGAGACACGAAGTATAATAACTTTCTTGTGTTCGTTAACAATACTTGACGGTCAAATGCACAAATGGTTGTTTGTAAAATCTTTCCAAAGGCCAGAAATGGTGATCAAGAGACCATGTTCACGTCGAGGGCCCGGGTTCGAATCCCATCACGGGTACCTGAATACCATTTCGGGTGCCATCTTACTACTGTAATGATCAAAAGAAAATATCAGTGTTTCCGCTAGTAAGGTGAATATCGCTTTTTCTTAATTTAAACTATGGCGATTATTTGGATCATTTTAGGGAAGAAGAGAGCGTCTAAGTAATCTAATCCAATAATTACCGTTTGAAAAAAAACTTCTATTCTTGGAAATTTACTCGTATATTGAGCAAACAGTGCTGATTTAAGGGTTCGAATTTGTCCCCAGTAACCCATGTAAGAAGCGACTAAAGTATCAGATTGCCATGCTTGCCATCTTGGTTGACAAGTGTCATCGGAAAACACTAGCGTGGATCGATGCTCATGACGTCGATCACTGGAATCTCCGTCCTGACTTGATTACTAACAGACCAAAGTCATTTAGCTGGGACATTGCTGAGTACGTTAACAGGAAACACACCACACGTGCAGTTGAGAGAAGGAAACATGTTTGTGAGGAACGAACCAGGTAAACCTGCTAAGTAATCGTTTCTCTCATTGTGGTCACTATTCCCTTCCTCTGTGTACCTTCCTTCACCAAACACAACCAGAACACATTAGCAATTGATCGCAATTCACGCTTGTGGTTTTATCCACCCGGTCGCTAAACAATACCCCGGCCAGGGTAATGAGAGAATATATCCCGCCAACATTCCACAGAGAGCAGAAACTCGTTCAACCAGTCTCGCGTTGTCATATGGCTAGCGGTCCACAATACACGGAACAGGCTGAGACAGGGCGCGTGTTTACATGGAGACTTCTTTAGCTAGGATTAACACGGGATAAGCTGGGAGCTGACTCTCCGATCAGGAGTTGCTGTCGAAGACACAGGAACAAGATACTTGGTGTCTGTGGATATTTCGTTGGGATATTTCGGCTGTGATCGATTCCAGGAATTTCGTTTGTCGGCACGTGAGGGCAGAGCGTTACCAGGTAGGTTGTTGGTCACGGTGTGGTGACTGTAACATGAACCATGTCGTCAACGGGGTACCTTGTCTTCAGGTGTGTCTGAAGTTTTACTTCTAATCAATTGTATAGTATTTCTGTATTCTGATTACTTGACATTGAAAGGATATTCGACATCGGAAATTCAGATACAACAAAATTCTATGAGATTTTGACACCATGGTACTTTTGTACTTGGTAATTATTGAAATAACACATATTTTACCGTTGTAACTGTTATGTCTTGGTCCGTAGGTGGCAAATGCCGACATAGATGCCGTTATAGTTACAGGGATGCCACCTTAACTGTTCCTGTGTAGAGTCATATGCTTGTGACTGTACCCACGTACAGACGGAACACCGTACTTCTGGCTTAATACCTATAATACGTACCTGGCAATGTATACGTATTGATGACAAATATGTAGATATCTTGTTACAGATTGTGAAATATTTCCAAGTGTACATAATTACATTACTAGGAACGAATAATACATGTGTTCTCAACAGCTCTTTCTCTATAACGATCATTAAATCTGAATTTCACCTTGAGAATATATTTTCAATGTTGTAGTTTATCAATTATTCATAGCGTTAATATATTTTCATTCTTATGAATTACATTTGTATGGAACTTTTCCACAGTGACATATGGAGACTATGATATCTACAAAATGTGACTGCGTTTATAAGGAGACATTATATGGGGTATTTATTGTGAGATGTGTTTTACGTTCAACAATCAGCAAACCGTATAACTCTCTGGGTAAGACGTTGTATACGTACGCGTGTATTTCATTTTTCCCCAAAGTGACTGGTACAGGCAAGACAAGTATAGTGTTGTCTAAGAGATCTTCATCCTATATGAGGTGATCAATACTCCGCCTGATATGTTCATGCAAATGACAACTGGTCTTCAGTTATTGGAACGCTTGCGTGTTTTGACGTTAAAACAAACAACTAGGGTCTACAATGTGTCCAAAAGGCTTATTTCCAAGGTTCTCAGTGAACACGCCATCGATCGAGGCTGGAGTTACTGCATATTGGCATATATAAAAATATCATGCATCGTTAAAACTCTCTGTAAGATTTTCTTTTGATATTCTAAGTATCTACCTTTCACTATACTCTCCCCGGGCCGGTTTGGTAGCTAAACGGTCAAAGCTTCCGCTCATCACGTTGACGACCCGGGTTCGATTCCCCACATGAAGTCCATTTCTGGGTCCTCCGCCCTGATTTTGCTGGAATATTGCTAAAAGCGGCGTAAAACCATACTCAGTCAGGCACCTTAGTCTGCCACTCGTAATTTAACAAAGAGTGAGTGAGTGAGTGAGTTTAGTTTTACACCGCACTCAGCAATATTCCAGCTATATGGCGGCCGTCTGTAAATAATCGAGTCTGGACCAGACAATCCAGTGATCAACAGCATGAACATCGATCTGCGCAATTGGGAACCGATGACATGTGTCAACCAAGTCAGCGAAACTGACCACCCGATCCCGTTAGTCGCCTCTTACGACAAGATAGTCGCCTTTTTATGGCAAGCACATGGGTTGCTGAAGACCTATTCTACCCCGGATCTTCACGGGTCCAATTTAACAAAGAATACAAGCTAAGTAACTAAGTAAAGTCATTTTAAGGAAAACCAAGTTTCCTTCATCTTCACAACTTCTAAAGTGCCTCTTAAACAAGTTGTTGATGAGATGTTTAAGTTTTTACTGTTACTTTAAATTTCATATTGTCGCATGGTTGGAACCGTCCATCTTTCATGTTTTGCTAGAAATTGTTCGCATAATGCCGGCGCCATTAAGCGTGTCTATAACGTGTATGTATACGTACAGCAATAATTCGCATGACATGCCGCCAATAATCCTACTAGACAGTGTTCTCCTTTTGTTTGGTTGCTATGGTGAACACGTCAACGATGCGAATGAAATATTTTACATGACAACACCATAGCGACACCAAGGACACATCCATAAACACTCGGGCTAAATATAGACCGTATACAGAACTCATTCAAACTCACTTTCGTAATGACACGCTTGATCGGTTCAGTAGAATGTCAGTGAAATATATCGGTGAAGGCTCGACTAGTCACTTTCTCTAATGGTGCGGTAGCGCTGTGTAGAATTACGTCCCTTGTTGCGCCAGGAGCCTGTCATTATGAGTTTTCAAAATCGAAATTTAAGGTCCGTAGAGCTAAACACCATATCCTACCTAAGACAGAGGTTATGTGTGAGACCTGTGTTACCTCCCAAGCTGACGGGAAGTGCCATAACCGAAATACTCCTTGGATAGGCTCACTCACTCACTCACTCACTCACTCACTGATGAATCAAGTCAGCAGGGGTATAAGTCTCTGAATATTCTCTGTGCCTTAAAATGGCTGCCTGGGGTACAGAATTGTAAGGAGTGGAGAAATGAATATTACGGGTGAGTTAGTATACGTCAACATTCAGTCACTTGGATAGCGACATGCATGCAGTCGTGTGTGTGCGCGTGCGTGTGTGTCTGTGTGCATGCATGTGTCTGTGTCTGTCCCTTCTGTGTGTGTGTGTGCGTGTGTGTGTTTGTACAAGTCGGGAAGTCTGCCGCTTGTATCGAACCAGCTCACGGAAATACCATACCAAATTTGTAATACCCCGCCCTGTCCACTGACTACCAGATCACCGGTCCTTAATGCCGAGCACAAGACAAGGTCCTTTAACGTCCCTTTTTTAAAAAGACGCGCGGCTCTGTCCATTCGGCCATCTAGACGGTCGCGTTCAGAACGAAGGGCTCCGAGCTCTTTTTGTTTCTAGCCCATGTGAACAACAAGTAAGGACCGACACCGCCAGGGATTATCACCAATATATCGGCCCCATCCTCCACATAAAAAGAACACCAGGACATATCCCAACCCTTCTGCGTGTAGAAGGATGGCTGCTAATATATCGGGGATTCCGCTTGATTCATCACCACAGTCGGAAAACTCCCGAAGCATATCGTAAAAACTAATATATTGATTGTTGATTTATATCATGATGTTATACACCTTCCCTCCGACTCTGAGGCGGTATAAGTGGAACTAATTCGCTGACGTCACAGCGCTGCACTGTCAGTAAACATCATTTTGTTTACACGATCTGTTTCGCCGAAACTACCGCAGCGTGATCTTACAATCAAGCTATAACAGATCCTGGGAGATATCGCCTACGATGACATTACAACTTGATCATGCTTATCCATAATCTGGGCTGGATGCTGTTACAAATTAGCCCTAATCAAGATTACCTACTGCCCCAGTGTTGACAACATCGACTGTAGCTCTTGAAAATCACCCATCCATAAACCTGGCTAGATAATTAATCAGATTGGCCCTAATCGAGAATATTCATCACATATTGTGTTATCTCTGTAAGCGGATCACGGCACCCAAAAGCTGTATTGATTGTCTCTGCGATCACATCCATGATGAGGCTGCTGGCAGAGATTCCCAGGGGTAAGGGGCACAACAACTCTTAGCATTTTGTGCTTGAATCAGCAGGAAAAGGAGGACTCGTTGTCAGGCACTGTCATTTGGCTGAGACGATTCGGTGCTCATTATGTCAACCTCTGGTTTGCAAGTCTAGACATATGGGCACATACATCGTTATGGACAACATTTTATTGTTTTTTGTGTGCATTCAGCTACGTTTCGATGTAGAATCTTCTACTTTTTGCACATCAACCAATCAACAATACGACGTAAAATACTACGCGAGTGAGTGAGTGAGTGAGTGAGTGAGTGAGTGAGTGAGTGAGTTTCCATAACGTGATACACGTCAGTTCGGTCACACTGTCACTCACTGAATAGTTGTAAGAGGCGACTAACGGGATCGGGACGTCAGGCTCGCTGACTTGGTTGACACATGTCATCGTATGCCAATTGCGTAGATCGATGCTTATGGTGTTGATCACAGGATTGGCTGGTCCAAACTAGTTTATTTACCGTTATATATAAAGCTTTGATATTGCTGTATGAGTATCTCAACAGTCGCAACAGTCGTACATCGCGCGGGTCAGTTTCCTACGACTCGGTCCGTCAGAGAAGTTCAGTCCTTTGTTTGAAATTCAAATGGGCATTACAGAAAGACCTCAAGAATTATAGCATGCTGGTATCTATTGATCAGTAGCCCAGAGGTCAGGTGACCTTGTCATTGTAGAATGCGGCGCCTAAGGGGGACAGTCGGGTACTGTGACCCGCGACCTAAGGGGGTTGACTCGGATGACTGATCAAATATGTTTCAAGATACAAAGTCTATTGCATGTATGCGTGTATGTGCGTGCGTGCGTGCGTGCATGCGTGTATATATGTAAAAGCTAAGCTACTAGAAATTTAGCACTGGAGGAAAACATTTGGTCCTTGAACTTCGGAATTAACACACAGCTTAACCCCTTTCTCCTCATTACCACGGGGGCGGTGGGGTAGCCTAGTGGTTAAAACGTTCGCTCGTCACGCCGAAGATCCTGGTTCTATTCCCCACATGGGTACAATGTGTGAAGCCCATTTTGTGGTGTCCGCCGTCGTGATATTGCTGGAATATTGCTATAGGCGGCGTAAAGCAATACTCACTCACTAACTCACTCTCATTCTCACGATCTTCCATATCCACACTCACACAGACACAGTAACTCCACTCACTAACTCACTCTCATCCTCACGATCTTCCATATCCACACTCACACAGAGACAGTAACTCACTCACTAACTCACTCTCATCCTCACGATCTTCCATATTCACACTCACACAGAGACATTAACTCACTCACTAACTCACTCTCATCCTCACGATCTTCCATATCCACACTCAAACAGAGACAGTAACTCACTCACTAACTCACTCTCATCCTCACGATCTTCCATATCCACACTCACACAGAGACAGTAACTCACTCTCACCTCACGATCTTCCATATCCACACTAACTCACTCTAACTCACTCACTAACTCATCCTCACGATCT